CTTTGAAAAACTCACGAGTGCATGTTTATCCAAATTTCACGAGAAACCATGCTATTACTTATTAATAATTTACATAAAAATGTTCGAGACAATTGTAGTTTTAACTTACGCGTTTATAGCGAACATCCCACTGGCAAAGTTTTTCTGGCTTTGTTTTATCACATTATACCACGCTAACAGCTTGAAAATTCCACTAGCTCAACTGTGTATTTTTTTGTTAGTCTTGTTTGAGGTAAATGCTTTTCCATTTAAAAATAAAGATAAAAGCCATATTTTCCACGCGAAGGCAACTTTTACTTCGTGTAGCGCGGCGCCATGTTTGCTTTGTTTTGAAGCAATCTGTGACAGTTACTTATTTAAAACTTTAAACTGATTGATTGATTTAAACATCACAATGTTTTTCCACCAATCAGATCAGTTTGTTACAGATTTTTGCACTGTGATTACAGAAAATTGCACTGTGATTACAAAAAATTGCACTGTGATTACAGAAAATTGCACTGTGATTACAGAAAATTGCACTGCTGTTTGGGATTAACTGCACTGAAATCAACCAATCACAGTCGAGTAATATCTTTATGTATATTATTAGTTGTAATACAGTATTGTTAATTCTCATGGCAACATATGAATTTCTGCACGCAGAGGTGTTCGAAAGCTTTTCCAGATATAATGCACTTGATAGTATGTTGTATTACATATTTTCTCATTCGTCTGGTTCTTCCGGTTTCAGGAGCTTGTCATACACTATGTGAAAAATGGTACCTAGGACCACGCCTATTATAACCAACGACAGCACAATTAGTCTCAGTACACTCATATGTTTTGCATCCGGTGTTGGTATTGTCACCGCCAAGATTGCGAACAAAACGTTCTCTACGGATATTAAACTGTACAACGCATAATGGACAGAGCGTCGACTTGAAAAACCTTTGGTTAACTTATCTGGCACGTGTAACAAGAACGGAAAGCTGAAAACAATGGATACAAAAACGAATCTTACCAACTCACACTTGCTTTCAGCTGCGCTATCGATTTTCCAATTCAACCATGAGACAACATGAACCGTCAGGCAATGTACCGCCAGTGCTGTGAACACATGTTCCTTAAAGACGTATCCGAATGCTACAATTGCAAAAAGTCTGGATAGCAAACTAAACAATTCAGAAGTGAAAAATACCGTGGCTGGCAGTGTGAAATTATGGCTATTTTTATTTGCACTCGCTTTCTCAAGAGCGGTAATACTCCATGCTAAAGAAAGCAGGGAAATCACGGCTGAGAGAACGGTTAACCATGGAAAATCCCACTGACGTAACATGATGTAAATCTGTAGACACCATTGTGGAGTAGACTCTGTAAGTGTCTCTACATAATGTACCCACGCGAAGCTGCATGTTGACTTGTTAGACTTCGTTATCCCCTCACAGTACTGTATGCAATCTGGACAATTGCATTCCTTATAGTTGTCTCTACAAGGGGTATTATCCCAATGTGTTTGCTTCCAATATTTGAACTCTTCGATATAACGCACAAATATGGACGAACATACCAAGCATAAACAAATGCTTAGATCTTCAGACGTTTCATGCTCAATTGCTTGAAAGGTAGCCAGAATATTGACGATAAAAAGAGGAACGATAATAAAAACGAACGTCAAACCAAACCACCAACGTTCGCCTTTAAGTCCATACCGTACAGCTACAACGATGTCTGCGACCAGGTCAAATATAAACAACACGAAGCCTGTGATCAGCATGAATAATTCCTTCTTTCCTCTCATGTTGACCTGTCGAATGAAAAAAATGATCTTACTATTGAGTTTTCTCATAGGCTAGCAGATGGCGACCATCTACTCAACTTTAGAAGTTAAGATTAGAAATCTAGTGTAGCATATGATGGTCATTTTCAGAAATGTTGACATTCGTAGATATATAACTCAAATCGGCTTAGAATACAGTTGGTGCTAACTGAGTGAAAAATACTTAAGGTAATTATTTTCTATTTTTCTATTTTAATATGCGTTAATCCCAACCCAGGCGGTGTGCGCAATACGACCGCAAAGCAGTATGGGAGCACAATTTATAAATTTTGCGAAGGAATGTTAATTCACCTTCAGTTATGGGTAAGTTTAGCATTTATTTTATTCTTATTCCCTCTCATTTTGATTACGTTTTGTATTATTATATCGAAAAGGAGTGTTTGGTGTTAATGTGTGCCTAAAATCATTCACGAAAACTTGATTGTGTCGAAAGATATAGCCGATTGAACTGCCACCCATATTTGGCATGTTTCGACGTGGTGTTTGAGTAGCGTTTTTATATTGCCAGAATATCCTTACACGATTAGAAATCAGTAGCATTTCCTTTGTATACTTGTTTTTTAAAGCATAAACTATCCAAAAATCACATCGCACCCCATCGCACCTCGTACGGTTTGTCTGCAATTTTTGAATTTATAATGCCCATTTTAACAGGTAAATGATACATTGACACCGTAAACAAAATGGCTACCAAGAGGCGAGAGACGCTTCGAGCTGTCAACTGGCGACAGTTCAGCGAAGCCAAAGTTGGCTTTACGTGAAGGTAGTTCGAGGAAGAGCCTTTTCCAAACAATTTCTCAAAGTTCTGTATCCAGCAGGAATGAAAATCCAGTATCATGGACTAAACAAGAAACTTGTATGCTATTTATAAATAAATACAATATATAGGTCTGTATTGGAAAGATCCCTGGAACGACAAATGGCCAACAACCAAAGATAAAGAGGATGTGCCCAAGCAGTAAAAAATGCATGTAAATCCCAACGATCAGGTATGGTATTCGAATCATATTATTATTATTGATTTAAATTAAATCAACTGACCGAGCATTGAGTGCCAGTGCCCCTCCTTGACAAGTAAAATCAGAGTTAAATAATAAAGAAGGGCACATTAGGATGGAATGTAACTTAACAGATTAAATTCATAATATAATTTCAGGCTGAACACATTTGCAGGCTGAAACATTTGTAAACAACAAATGGAAATTGAGTTGACTGCATCTTTAAACAACAAGCTCCCAACAATATGTGGACATAAAAGACAGCGAATTTGGCCAAGTACATATAACTTTCTCTCGTTAGCTTGGAATATCACGAAACTCCCTCACAGGATAGAACTTAACATTCCTAAAAATCGTATGTTTTTTGTTTTTCGATTTTGTTACATTTTGGCGGGAAAATGACGTGCCAACTTTGGCGCAAAAAAATTAAACACGAGCTAAGAACATGCTAGTAACTTTTTCGAACAGATTGTCCTATAAGGATCTCAAAACTGTAAAAACATAAAAAATAGAACAAGGCAGTACGAAGATATGGCGATTCAAAATTGTATTTTTACTGAAAAATCAGCCATTTTGTTACTAAAAATAGATTTTTTTCGAACTTTGAATCTCCATATCTTTGCACTGCCTTGTTGTATTTTTAATGTTTTTACTATTTTGAGATCCTTATAGGACAATCTTTCCGAAAAAGTTACTAGCATGTTCTTAGCTCGTGTTTAATTTTTTTGCGCCAAAGTTGGCACGTCATTTTCCCGCCAAAATGTAACAAAATCGAAAAACAAAAAACATACGATTTTTAGGAATGTTAATTTCTATCCTGTGAGGGAGTTTCGTGATATTCCAAACTAACTAGAGAAAGTTATATGTACTTGGCCAAATTCGCTGTCTTTTATGCCCACCGTTTAATGTTGCGATTAAATTTGACTGATAAATTAAATGCCATTTATATATTCTTATATTTCATTAATTAAAGCAAAATATTTTAATTGTTCTAGGAGGTTCATGTAGAACCCGAGTCCTAAAAACCTTGGCGAAGAATGTGGTACATTGAGTGATGCAGAAAAAGATTTTGAAATTGACTATGTATACATGATTCTGTTGGCTCAGCTATTCCTGTGCCATCAAGTCCTGCTGCTGTGTTCAATTTTAGTGATAATCTCTCACCAATTTTCAAAGAGTCACCATGTAAGGGCTCAGCAGGAAATAACCCAGGTACTCTTGGTGATATTGTCCAAAATCTCATCACAGCCTTCAAAAGTGTAGCATGTCCCAAAGATTAAAGGAACAATTATTGAACTATTTATAAAAGCTTTTTGTATTGAGCTTGGAGGCATGCATGGCTTTATACCAATTTGTGCAGGCAGATTTTCTGGAAAAAAGTTTAAATGCCATGAAAACATTGCAAGAGGGCAAGAACTTGCTTTATGGTATGTCATGGCGCTTTGAGAGATGAGAAGATGGCACACCTGAGTGGCTTTGCCACCAGTGCCTAAACATATGTGAGAATATTGGTCAAATTTAGAAAAATTTCTCCCACTCATGCGGGCTCATATTGCCAGCGAACACTCTCCTCCGCAGAGGCTTTGTAGTTTGTTTTCTTTCTATATAAGTTTGACTTGCGAGCAGTAGCGGCTCCAAATGTCCATGATGCCCCCTTTTAACCCCGCGCTTGCTCCCCCCGTGTGCCCACTTCTCTACCTAGCCCGCTACTGCCCGCAAGTCAAACTTATAGAAAGAAAGAAAACAAACTCATTCTCATAGAAAGAAAACAAACTACAAAGCCTCTGCGGAGGAAAGTGGTCAGCGGACATCTTACAGAAAGTGGGCAGTTCTGTGCACAGTACACACAGTACATAACCTTATGCACATATTTGTAAATAACAAATAACAATGAATATAGTCATTCATATTTATAAACACGTTAAAAACAGACAAGTTAATTTACTTTACAAATGTTGATTTTTTAATAAGATGACCTGATCAAACCAGTTCTATTCAGTATATTTTATGCATTTACATAGCAGACTGGCTAGCTTTGACCACATTAGGATGCCATGAACCTTTTTTGGATATGTTAATTGTGTGATAAAATCCAATTCGCATAAAAGTTGTATGTAGTTTGATGTATTTTATAGACACATCAAAGCTAGGGCCGTTCATATGGGGGCTAATATACTGTGTCAGTTCACTTGCAATCAGGGACGCCGGAACGATAAAAAGGCAAGGGGGGCAAACACACACCAAAGGGCACCTCTGTAAACCTCGGTGAAGATATAAACCTACAATTATGTGTTGACTTGCCAATGAAAGCAAACACACTTAATCAGGTCATATTCAAGATCACACCTCATGATTTTGCCCATGCAAAAAGCATCACTGGAAACGTGATTTATCAGGTGTAGTATTTTATAACTTAAAGGGCACTTCTGCCCCCCTTGCCCCTACTAACAAAAGGCAAGAGGGGCAGCTGCCCCTCCTGCCCCCCCCCCCCAGTGTCCCTGCTTGCAATATAACCAAACTTGTGGAATGCATCAACAGTTTTCACATAAGTTGCAATTGCATTTGGATCATGTAAATTGTCTGGTTCTTTTTCCAACTGCACATAGACTGGCCTATTGTACTCATTTAGGTACTCGAACGCTTCCTCTAATATTTTCTGTCTTTCACCTGAATGACATGATCGATATCCAAAAACTTTAAGTGGAACAGTGTGCACTTCACTTTCAATTTGCTCTTCTTCAATGCTTTGTCTCGCCATACCTGCTGCACTCTCATCTCTAATCTCGCTTACTTTTGTTATTTTCCATAAACAATGTACTCAATTCCATCAATTGTAATTTTGCAGTGCGACGTACATTTAAATTTTCCTGGGCAGATGTGAGTAGATCTTCTAATTAGAGCATGTGCATTGCCAGAGTTTAGCACTACATTTATTCATTTAAATTCTATAGGCAATGGACATAACAGGGAAGGTTGATATAGTCCATGAGAACCATGAGTCTGCAATGCTTGTAATGGTCCCAACTATTTCACCTGCAATTACACAAAATAAGTTCATACAAGCTTAACTTATGATGGCCTAAGACCGTAAGTGTAATTAGCTGCAGTCACCACCTTTGTGTTGTGATAACAAATTTCTATTTTGGACCAAAATGGTCTTTGTGGTTTGTTTGAAGATAATCATCATGACTAATTTTTTTTACAAATACAGCTTTCAAAGATTTTGTGATGTTTTAAGATAGCTACGATAACAATTACTTCAAAGAACAAGTCACAAATTATGATCACCTTTGTCTAAGCAAATCAATCAAAAAACATGTTCATTTTAGGCTAGTATTTACCTACTGGTAAATACTGGATGGTAAATACAGATAAATACTGCTGGTAAATACTGGCTTGTAAATTCACTACTGTGCCTGTATAGTCTGACTTTCTGTTGGCATGTTTGGAAGAGGACCTAAAATGAAGTTATTTTTGTGTCACTTCATTGTACAAGGACAATGTACAAGCTGTAATGCAACTAGATCATTTTACTTTGGTATGCATTAATCAAAATGCAACCAATTACTACCTGGAGGTGAGAAAAGTTATTTTGGTTTATTCCACTTGTTGGGTTGATGTTTCCTGCAGCAAGCTGATTGGCAAAATGCTTGTCCAGGATGCTGATTATTGTGTTAAGAAATTTATTCTGACCATCACAACAAGTGCTAATAACCCAGGACTGCAAAGATTTTGGTAGGCTAGGAAGTGGCAAACTACAATGGAAGTTTAGTAGGAGGTAGCAGCTAGCTTCTCTGGTAAAATGGAAATTGTTCATCAAAATGTTCATCAACCAGCCCCTCCTCCGTGTTAACAACAGTAAATGGTAACTAATGAAATTCCCATCCTTACCTTCTGCAGATAAGTCAAGTTCGCAAACACAAAGGCTGAATATTTTTGTATCATTTTTGTTTTTAGCTATTAATAGTATCGATACTATTTGAACATTTACTGAGAGTGAACCAAGTTGAGTGTTTACAGTACATAAAATAAAAGCAATCAGAAGCATTTAATTATTATATATTGTTGTATATGCTTTAAGTAAACACTACAAATGGAATCACTCCAGCTTTTTGTATTGAAGATAAGTATTTAGTGAAAATATGTAGTAATTACCTATAAAATAGTCCAATATAGTACCTATATTTATAACTCACCTTTCGAGATATTTGCCATGTTGTGATAAAATTGCTAACGCTTTATGGATCCAACACGAAGCGTCGACTGCCACAATTCGTCCATAAAATTCGCTGATATGCACCTTATTACCATATTTCTTTATGTGTGGGAATAAAGGCAATTGATTCCCATCTGTCTCTGATGTTCACTCGGTCAAAACAAAATGCAAATGAGGTGCAATTGCAATTCAGGCGCGAAAACCCCATCACGCTTTGCGGTCGTATTGCACACACCGCCTGATCCCAACCGGAAATACGACGAAAAACCGTCAAAACAATGCTACACTTGAATCGCGTGACTCTGGAAATGCCAGAAATGGATTCTACAGGTCAAAGTGCGCCCATACGCGTGAGTTTTACGTCATCCCGGCTAAAGGGAGCTCCTTATTGGCCAAGTATTACGTAATACAAGCGCGTGCTAGTGAAACCCGATACTTTAAAAATTCAAAATAAATATTTCTAGTCGGCGTATACATACGAAACTTTCTACACGAAAGCGCTTGAATACAAAGAATATTTTACACATATCCTTTCAGGAAATGACACCAAAGTTTAGAATATATTCAACTTTTTCTCATTTTCTCCTTTGAATGTTTGGCGAAGCGGTGAGTATAAAATATATGATTGTTTCGGTTTGTGTAAGGCCATATAAAATAAATTCCTTGATTCTCATCACCGCCCGACGATATTTTGGTTTCCGCGTTGATATATTTTTGTATTTTGTTATAAAATATAAATTTACCGCCCGACCGAGCATCTTCAGAGATTTAGTTATTTTTATATTTTATATTGGAATTTTTTCGATATAAAATTGTTTTATCGTTAATATGGCAACATGTTAAGGGATGCTTGGAATACTGAAGAAAAAATGAGCTTATAGCCTTATTACAACGATTTGTGTGGACCCTTATGCATGTTCATTAGCGCATGTGCAATTATCCACTTATATAGCGTTCTTCTATAATATATTTAAGGGCAAATATAAAAAGACCTCCCTCTCCTATTTTTTAAATTTTAAACTTTTTTATATTTTGACATAAAATATAAAATATAAACCTCCCGCCTCCTGGGAGTTTTTAAAATTTAGCGATGAGAATCAAGGAATTTATTTTATATGGCCTAATGTTTGACGGCACTTGACCCCCCGTTCGAAAGGTTATATTGTGAGGATTTCAATGGTGGCATTTATTTAAAAGGGGGGTAAATACTCGCCGAGATATTTATATTAGAAAAATTGAATTCGAAATGTAATACGAAACAGATTGTCGAGAAGGAGTTAAATGATAAACGAGAAGGAAACATTGGGGATAATATAACCGAGAATTGTCTAGAAGTATAAATTTTTGCATTCAGTTCATACGCCATAAAGGCAGCAAGTACTTTCCTTGCAATAGTAACTCCTAGTACTAGATTAGCACCATTAAGACCGAAAAGGTCTTTTTTTTAAAAAAGTCCATAAAATTTGCTTGCGGTTTAAGATTTGTATTCCTGCCTTTTGCACCATAGCACGTATCTCGTTATTTTCAAGCCAGTGTGAACGCCTGAGCAGGCGTCCTGTTATTTCTAAAAATGGTCAACAAGCTTTGCCCTGAAACAACAGCGTTGATTCGTTTGTACAAAAATGAAACTGAACTGAGCTACAGAAAAATTGCTGCGCGATGTGAAGTGTCTAAGTCAGTTGTTCATAAAATCTGCAACACGAAATTGCGTCGGAAGTTGGTGCCTAAAATTTCAAATGGTAGATTTGGACGACCAAGATGCCTTAACGAAAGGGATGAAAGATTACTATTGCGAGCTGTTAAGACGTTACGAAAGACGTCAGTGAACTTCTCCGTGAAAGATGTTATACAGGAAAGTGGACTGGATCCAAGCATTGCAAAGCGAAGGACGATTTCTCTTTATCTTAATCGCGCCGGTTATCACCATTTACAAGCAAGAAAAAAAGGATTATTAAGTGAATCTGACAAAAAAATTCGAACCAAATATGCACGAAATGCCAAAAAATTACTTAAAGACTATCCTAAGTTCTACACACATGACATCTCATTCTATCTAGACGGCTTTCATTTGTTCACAAATACAATCCACTTAAAACAGCCCTGCAACCGAAATCGCGTGTGTTGAGAAAGCGAGGTGAAGGATTAGAGATTACAAGTAAATGAAGTAAAGATTTGCCTGGAGGAAGGCGATTGCATCTCATGGTCGCCGTTGCGTATGGTAAAGGCGTAATTTTAAGAAAGGCATACGAGAAAATGGACGGTCCTTTTTTTGCAGGTTTCGTGAAAGAAAACCTAAACTTATGCTTCGCTAAAGCTGGTCCAAGGAGAGGAAGGCAGCGCATATTTGTCATGGACAATTGCCCCTGCCAAAATAGCAAAGTAGCCTTATTTGCCCTGGATAGTATTGAATGCACACGGCATAAAATACCAGCGAGATCTCCTGATTTAAACCCGATTGAAAACATTTTCCATGTAGTAAAGAAGCAGCTAGAAAAAGAAGCCATAAATATGCGATTGTCAAAGGAATCATTTCAGAATTTTCATGACAGAGTATGTCACTGTTTAGATAACTTAAGTGTTGATCTTGTTGATCGGACACTCGAAACTATGTTTAATCGCATTACCGCGATACTAAGGAAAAAAGGAATTAGATCAAAATACTAAATAATATTCGATTTTACTATAATAATATATACATTACGTACTGCGGTTTTAAACTCCCGTCTATTCAATAAAAATAACTGCATAAAACTGTAAAAAAATTGTGTAAGCAATGTTATTTTGAAAGTTTTGAAATTTGACACGGTACACGGCCGTGTCGGTACAAATAAATATTGAACTGTGTATTCTTTAACTCTACGCTACACACTTGTGTACCGTGTGACGTCACCGTTAGATTAAACATGCTCTACTACAGTCGCTATTGGTCTCTGTTTGTTATAACAAATCTGAAAATAGTGAGCGCTTCGGATGCGAATCTACGCAATGAAATAACTCTAGTCTGTTACATTTCGTGACAATTTGGTTCTACACTTAATTAAGTACTTTTGTTAAACTCGTCTTACTGCCTCTGAATAATTAGTCCAGCAAAGCATCTGGCGCATGGTTGTGCCTCGACTTGCTCGGTTTTTGAAATTTCTGCATGAAAACCAAATACATTCCATCTCAATCTCATCATTTCTGTTTCCGTAGCATCCAGCACACCTCCCTTAACGAAGCTGATTTCTTCTTTTGCCGTACAAAATATTGGCACATCACTAGAGAGAGTAGCGTCTTTGCTGTAATGACTTTTGGGCGCGGGTAAATGCACTAACTGACCATCCAACATGAGTAAAAGATCATACAATGGTATAATCTGCTTAGACCACCTGAAATTGTTGAGGAAAATGACGTCTGCATCTTCAGCTCCTACCCATGCAAAAGTCGTGGTTGCAGGATTGCTGAAGGTGCTGTAAATTTGGTTGAGTGGGTTTAACAGAAATGTCTTACCGCAATTTGCTGGGCCCTTGAGATAAATGTTGCGGTATTTTTCACGACCTTTCTCCAACAATACGCGTAACGCCCCCGCAAATACCATAACGTCGATACCGTTTCTGGTTAGGATGTCAATGGCCATAACTAACCATTCCCCTAGGCATCCTTCCACGCACGGCTCTTCCAACTTTTTTTCCAGAACTTCGAGCCTGGTAAGTTTCGACCTTTCCAACTTTTTTTCCGCCTCTTCCAACTCCCAGCCAACGATCAAAGCTTCCTCGACCGCTTTCGATCCTCGATTGGCAATGAACTGGGCCAAACCACTTTTCCCTTCATTCTTCTGCTCATTTGCAAAAGCAAGAAGTTCTAGTCGGGTTCGTATTTTTTTCGAAACTGCGAGCTGAGACACGTCAAAAATGCTCATTCTCTTGCGTTTTCGCTTGTGGCCATCCGCGGCTTGGGAATCAGGAGTAGTTTCACTGTCTGCGGCGTTACTTTGCAAACACAAACTAGCATTATTTGTGACTGGGAAATCGCCATTCGTGAGATCAGGGTGATTCGAAGACTGTATATAATCCTTGTCGTCTTTCGTAGCATAAAGCCATGCAGAATAATAATTCACGCGAATTCCACTGAAATTCACTTTTATTCCATGGTTAGAATCGAGAAAATTTCTAAATTTCAACCAACGACGGCGTGATTCAAGCTTAACAGCCATATGATAGTGTACTCCGCGATCACTATGATGCTCCATGCTGCAAACCCATTGCAAAATGTTGCAGGCTGACAAAGAATCTGCATTTTGAAATGCATGTATCACTAATAATGCGAATGATTCACGCTTAGGAACTAAAGCTAGATCTGCTTGGCTGTAAGTTATTAGGTAAACAAACCTCGCATTCCTTGGCTGAACATTTTGCACTGTTTGACTAAGTACTGAGACATCGTCGTTCTCCATAATGTACAATATTTTTTTACACGAAAATATTGCTTTTTAGAGTTGCAGCCTAAGTTGTAATTGTCCCCGAGCCGACGGCGCGAAGCGCCGTGCGTGGGTACTAATTCCTCCCGGCTATTTACACCCGGGGAAACGAAAGCATTAGCGGAGTCTAAAGTTCGTCAAATATCGCGGGCGTGGGTCACCAACGGTGTTGGGTGGGTGGTCATCCTCACTGACCTCAAAAATATGGCGGACTGTCATGAATAGCGGACACTGATTGGTCCAATTTAAAGTTTGCATTACAGCGACTGCATGACGACAGCGAAATAGCAAACATTTCAAGATTTGATGATTCATGATTGATAAATTTCATGCGAATATATTTCATTTTTACTCGCATTTTTGCAATATTTTGTAAATTTCAAAAGCTCTAGCTCTCAGAAAGAAACTTCGAAAGAATCGGCTAAAAGAAGGGAGCCGACGTTAACGAAGGTAAGTTTGTTTTAAATATTGATTTTATAATGGCTTTAAAACCCGACGGCTTTTGCGTATATGAAACAACTAAACAAGACAGAATATAATTTCGCTCAGTGTATCTTTAATATTGATTCACCTTTTTATTATATTGAATTATTTAAATAAAAAAGAAAGCAAAGTTATTTGCAAGCGAGAATTTGAAATCATTTTATTGCAACTCAAAGTTTATCGATAAAGCCATTTAATTAAAGGCAGTTTAGTTAAACAGCACTTTAAAACGTTTTGCGAAGCGTTTGTGGTTGAATTTTACCTTATATTGAGGCTTATATTACGTATAATGACATACCTAACATATATATGTAGGGAAATTAATAATTTTGTAATTAAAAGTGATATTTTTAGGCGATTTTTCATTTGTAAGAATATTCTTAAAGAATTATCGTGTTACCATGACAACTACTTTAGAACTTCACGTTCGGAAAATACAATGGTTTTGTCAGGAAGGCGAGGGTTTCTGTATGCATGTATTTTCTAGTATATAAATCCTGATATACGTAAAAAAGCCACTTGACATGTAATGTGATAGTGGCACTTAACATAGTCCGAAAGTTAAAAAAACGCTAAAAATAACCCGATTTACCAATTGCTTGCCTCCTTTGCTAAACAAACAAGCATTTTTATCATAGGTTCCACTCTTAAATACATGGAATCGGACGGTTTGAAATACGTGATAATCTCAGACAATCCTGGCAAAAATTATCGTGGACTGCCCGTTCGTCAAACAAAACTATATGTGTTTGCGATGTTACTCTGAGTGCATATCCACACCGGGCGAGCTTGAAAAATATGCCCGGCCACGGTGGGATTCGAACCTACGACCTTTGGAATACTAGCCCAATGCTCTTCCAACTGAGATACGCGGTCAGGACGGTTCGAGCAAGTGACATTTCGGAACAGTATCTAGTTCCTTCAATACCAATGTGTTCTAGAAATATGAATTTTTTTTTTGAATGTTGATATTGCCATTGTTGGCGATAAAACAGTTAGGTGTCCACATAATTTTTGCCAGGATTGTAGCTGTCTCCTGAACATCATCTTTCCCACTCTCCTGAAGAGCAATCATCACAGACTTGCTAAGTACCTGCGTTGCCAGTTTCACTTCCATCTTGCTATATGGGGTCAACACGATGTGATCCAGTGTTAGCTTGGGAAGTGTGTGAAGTGCAAACTCCTGGTCACTATAAAAGGGGTCAGCAACATGACGATACAAAAGGAATTTGCCATTGTTCGACAAATATCGGCTGCAGGAACAAGAACCGGAGTTGTACAAACAGTTGCGAGCTGTCTTGATGAGGTGAGGCGAGTCTGCAAAGAAATAGATGAAGCGTGACATTGCAAACACATTTCGTGTTTTGTATACAACATCACACTTCAAATCTTGTGCCAGTTGTGAATGCAAGCGGAAGAACTTTCTGTTGGCAGATGCACAATCGTTCACAGCTGCACATACATATAACTGCAGTGACAACTCGAGGACAGACACAGCTCTCCAGAACAGTGGCATTAGCTGGAAGGATGTCAGATCTTTGGTGAAAAAGTATGCGATGATGTGTTTGAGGTCAGTGCACAGTCCCCTAACGAGAAACGCAAGAGCATGGGATGCAAAAGTTTCCTCTTCGACATAAACAAAATTGACCATTGGATCACCCAAGTCAATAAAACCAATTAGGTCGTCAGAGTGTTTGTCAAAGACAAGATTAGACTGGATGTTCATCTCGTCAATCACAATAGCTACATACCGCTGTACTTCAGTAAAGGATTTTATTTTCTCTCTCAGGCATTCCACATTTTCCTTGTTGATCCCAGCTTTAGGTTTAAAGTAGTTCTTATAATCACTCAACACTCGTTTGAGTATAAGAGCATCACTATCTTGAAGCTCTCTGTAAGCGGATGATGATTTGCCATGAATAGACAAGGCGAATCTAATCACTTGGGGATGGATCTTCTTCCCATTTTCTTTCACTGCATCAGATCCATCTGCTGCTCCCAGAAGAACTTCATGTGAGGTGTGGCTTCGAGTTTCTGTCCTGCCATAATTTTTAGTAAATCAGTCTCGAGTGATGCACTGACTCCAATACCATCTTTTTCGATCTTTGCCTACAGAATTTCTAGCCTGCCTCTAGCTGTTTATTCTGCAGTCGTGTAGCCTTGACAGTAGCACAAAGTTTTTCAGATCCACAAGCTGATAATGGTGCTTTGGCTTTGGCCGGTACAGAAGCTGATCTTGATTTTTGCTAACTTGCTTTAGTAATTGCCTTCAATGAATCGGAGAATGGCTTACACGAGTTATCCTGGTGATCTTGGGATTTCTTAACAATGGTACAATCAACTGATCTGAACGAAACAGATACTTCATACACTGCCTCATTATTGGCCAGTTTTTTGGGTACTTAATGGCGAATAATTGTTCCTGGGACTCTATCATTACTTGTTGGGTCAATAGCAATATCCTTTACATCTGGGATGTACTGTGGGGTAATCCTTCGCACAATTGTGAAGATTCAATTGAACGCAAAAGTTTATTTATGTTGTCAGCTCGAAAAGATCGATTATATTCCCGATACAATGTATGATCATCAGGGATAGGCCAGTGGTAGGTAAAGAGGGTAAACGTTAAACCAGAATCACAAATCATCGTAAATTTTGGCACCGAATGACAGTCATCATATAGTTCCATCTTGATTCCGCTACTGGTATCAAGAATCAAGAATCAAGAACAATCTTCTTTTTAAGTACTATATTTTAGCATTAGAAAATACATACGATGTTGAGGATCCCCGGACATGGAAAAGTGTGTGCGTAAAATGCAATTCCGCCCTAAGTTTAATGAACTCTCCATTGACATGCTGCTTTTAGACAAATGTAATGACTGTTGTTCAAGTATTGTCTGTTGTGTGTGTTTAGTATACCTTGTAAATTGTTTCTGTATAACTATTGGGGCCGCTGTAATTGGCAATAGCTGTTGTGG